CTTATAACTGATCAAAGATTTTCAGAAGCTGTTAATTTGTGCCATGTAGCACTTTATGGAACTGCCAAAAAGCAATTCAACATACATATATATGAAGCCTCAAAGAGCACCTTTTTAAAAAATATAATATATTTTATGATTTTTTACAGAGAGGAAGGGAGAGCGATAGAGAGTTAGAAACATTGCCTCCTGCACACCCCCCACTGGGGATGTGCTCGCAGCCAAGGTACATGCCCTTGACTGGAATTGAACCTGGGACCCTTTAGTCTGCAGGCCGACGCTCTATCCACTGAGCAAAACCAGTTAAGGCAGAAAGAGCTTTCTTAACAATAGAGTTTATGTTTTGCTGAGACTATTGTTAAAACCTAAAAAAAATATATAAGGAAGGAATAGGATTTATGTATTCTATATGACCTGCAGTTCACATTTGAACCTTTCTTTTTAAAGGAGGGTTCTAAATTGACATATTAAGTTAGTTATTTTTAACTTTAACCTCTGAATATGTTGTTGTCTGAATAGATATTGCTTTTCTTGTATGCTGACAATCTAACCATCCTTCTGGTTAAAAATCTGATTTTCACTTCTCTCCTGAAAAGTATAGCTGATGAAAGTAATATTTACAATTGGAATTAGCCATACCTGTTGGCTACTTAATATACTTATTTGGTTTTCCTTAAAAATACTTGCAAAACAGTCTTACCTGAAAACAATTTTTAAATTTCTTGCTCACAAAATATAGAGCTATTGGGTTTATACATGAATTCATAGTTGCCAAGTTAATGCCGATATAATCCATGAGCAGCAAGAAACTAGAGCAAAAGAAAATAGTAGAATAATTAGCACATAATGTTTTCAAAACTGCAAACTAGCATTTATCCCTAGAATAAGCATTTTTCTTGCCCAGAAGCCATTTCTCACAGGTAGCAGTCAGAATTTTTTTTAAAGTACTTGTTTAAATGGCACTCTCAGTTCTGCAGAACATTTACCTGCCACTTGGTTAGCTCAGACTATTATGCACAGCCTCAGGAGGGGAGCAGCAAGATTATAGACATGGCTTGCACAAATTTTGGGATCAGTTATGAGTTATGTCAGCTAAAGAAGAAATAATCAACTTTGCAGTTTTAATTTCCAGGGCTAATGAGAATGTAGACTAGATGGTTTTGTAAAAGTATCATAAATGTGAAAATCAGAGAAACTCCAATTTCCTAATGGGTACATAGGATCATACCTAAGTAATTCACATCGGTTCTTGTCCATCTCATCATACACGGTTTTCTTCAAAATACGGCTTAAATGAAGAGGGAACCAGCAAAGAGCAAAAATTACAACCAAGCAGAAAACTGTTTTTGCCACTTCTCGACGCTAAAGGAAAGTGAGAAAAAAAGTACAGTAAATTCGTTGTTTTTCGGCTAGATAAAAGAACTACATAATAAGGAAGTAGTTGAGACCAGAGAAAGAATAGCTCAAAGAGGAGCCAGGACAGCCTGCCTCACAGTACTTCTACCTCTTTAAGATTTAGAATCCAACTTCAATAAGGATTTGCTACTGATTCTTTTGGGCAACTGCCAGGAAGGACGGTGGCTTTAGGTTGGTTATTAGGACTAGGGCAGAGGTTCTATGGCAGGGAGAGGTGGGAACTGGCTGGAGTAGAGCCAACACTGTGGGTGCGCCTGAGTGTGTGTGTGTGTGTGGGGGGGGGGCAAATATATGGGGAAAAGCGTTATCTAAAAGCATTAATAACAGGTAACTAGCTAGCATTAATTACAGCATAGCAGTCAAAGTGACTGAACTCACCATGTTAAAGAATGGACAAATCTGCAAAGATGTTTGGAAAACAAAATAGAAATAGGAAATAGAAAAGAAAAAGCAACAGCAGCCTGGACAGTGGTGCTCAGTGGTTGA